GGTTGAGAAGATAGCTGAAAACCGAGATGTGTGATTTTTTCAGAAGTCAAAACGAGCGTCAGGATCGCCAGCAGGTTGATCACCAAGCGTTGCAGCATTGGTCAAAACAACTGAAAAAGTTATTAGCTGAAGAACTACGTTATGAATAGCAAAGTGTCATCAAGGTACACTCCTAAGTTGTTTGTTTTCAGGGCACATGTCAAGCACCAGTTGTTGCTGCGTTGTGCTGTATATTTGCATTTCTTCTTGTTTCGTAAAAGTCGTCCTCGCTGTAATTGTTTCTAGGTTAGATGCAGTGGGAGCACATCACTGCATAGATATCCCGGTCCCATCACTTAATAACACACTCAAATAAGTTTTTGTAAAAGTACAAACCAAGCATCACTTTTTGCCGCGGTGAATATCGAAAAAAAGCTTGTTTTTTGTCCTCACCGACATATGAAGTATCAAGGGGCTTTTTGACCTTTTCATTCGCGCAGACTACTTCCTTCGCAGGCATTGTATGTTAAGATGCTAATTTTCCTTGGGCTGATCTTAAATGCTGTGAAGGTGTTTTGTGTCATCAGTGTTTCCCTTCTTGGGCATTATGCTCATGAGGACTTTTTCGATCGAATAACTGGCTTGACAAACGAATTTTATTTGATACTTTAATCAGCAACAGTTCATAGCTTGGTATTCCTGCTAAGCTGCCGACAACCTGTTCAGTAGCTCTAACCAGTGCTTCATGTCTGGTGGTTGGTCTACTACTACTGGGAATCCGGAATTTTTTAGCAGCCTTGGCATTTCTAATTCTTACTTTATTACCATTTGCACAGTTGATGAGAGAAACTTTGGAGCGACTGTGACTCTACGAAATGGCTGTGAAATTTTTTTTATTCAGCGGCTCGTCTATGTGCTGTCTTAGGCTGAACATTCTGAAGTCTACATTTGCTTATTGGCTAACGATGTAGCCGACCAGTTCTTTCAGATTAACAACGCCTATACGCATTCTGGCCACGATGATACCGGCATTTTACGTCATCTTCGTTTTCGACACTTCGTGTACAGCTTGGTGCCGGAGGAATTCTGGATGCAGATTAATTCCGCATATAATATTCGTTTGCCGTGCTAAAATTATATTATTCATGAGGAATTGTGCTAATAGAAGCTGTACACAGAGCATGAAAGTTTTTAACTTCTAGTCAGTCTCAGCTTTAGATTTTACTTTTTATGCGTTTTTTGCAGCAATGCAATGCGAAAAACGCATATTGACGAGAGGTTGTGTG